AAGTGGCCAAGGTTGAGAACACTGATCTAGAAGAGCTAAAGGCTGGGCTTTGAAGTCAGATATTATTTTAAAGCCAGACTGTTCTCCGCTAAAAGTGTTTATGCCTAGCAATCATGGTTTCCACACAGGGTCGGAGATTAATCCATGGTGAGAAACAGGCATTGACTCTCGTGTGGAACCATCACTGGGCGCTCTTCTACGTTCTCTGCTTCTACATCTTCAAGCATCTGAAGTTTCTAGGGCTTGGGAGGTCCTTATCCTCTGGCTCCAACTCAACCCAGCCATGATCTCTGGTGCTGAAACGGGCAATTCTGGTGCTACCTTCTCTGAAGCTCCCACGTTAGTAGGTGGGACCTTCCCCGTAGGTAGGTCCTGCCCTGTCCTCACATCTTCTCAGGTGGGAGATTCCTTCTACAAAGGCTCTGCTTGGCACCATCATTTGGAGTTCACGTCCCATCATCTCCAGGCAACGGGTGGGCTGTGAATGATGGGAGTTGAATTCTGGAGGACAGTCTGCTGGAAAAGAGCCAATCTTGAGGTTTATGGATTCATTCATACCTTTAAGTATTGCCACTCCCACTAAGTAAAGCATTGCTTTTATATTATGGGTTGTTAGCTATTCGGGCAGGGTGTGGGACAACCCACTCCTCCTTACGTTCAAGGGAAACACAAATGGGAGCTTTCATATCTGCCCGTGGGTAATAGCAAACTCGGCTACACAATTATATTGCACCACTTGCCAAGGTAGTTAATGCTTAAATGTAATTATAAAAAGTCTTTCCTATCCCATAAGGGTACAACCACCTGAAAAGACCATTTTTAAAAAATCCACAGAAAACTGAAACGCTAAATGTTGAAAATGCACAGAAGAAACAGTTCACAATTGCAGTTTGGAGGACATTCTCATCTTGGTACAGATCTCTCCATTCCTCAAGCAAGATCTTTCGATCCGCAAGTGGATTCTTGACAGGGGATGTGCAATAACACGGAGTACCCTTTGTTCCAGTCCTACGAAATCATGAAACACTGAAGAAATGCAAATGGCGAATGTTGATGTCAAATTCCCAGCCTATCTCAATATTACAAATCTTAAAGAAAAAACATACTCCCTGCTCTGCTACGAATGGCCTTTCTCGTTTCCAGGCAATCTGTCCTGAATTCCAAGGGAAGATTGTGATATCTTCTAAATAGACATAACCAAATGTGCATTATTGCAACATGAGCTTCAACGACCGAGCAAAATGCACTGATTTGTTTCCAACACATGCTAAGCCAGACACAAATAAACCCAGATTCCGAGTAAACCGGGGTTAATGATTACCTTGCATTGGCACACAGTTTATGACCATCCTTGAATTTATTTGTAGAAACACATCCCAGAATATCAGTTTCTCATCCACCCCGTCTTCCATTCATTTCAAATCCCCATTTTCAGCTCCACTCCGCCCTTTTCTGGAAAATCTATATAAAAAAATTGTACCCAGTTTTTGTGCCTGTAAGATAAACGGCTGGTTGTTAATGCCTTTTTTGGTTATTTTCAGCAATATACACATTGTGGCCCAGTTTCTTCAGTACAGCATTTCAGAAAGTGCTAATTTCGAAGCATAATTTCTTTTGAATCTTACTATGATTCAGGAAGTGCGGACGGTCTGAGTGAGTACATATGCCTTCATACGAACCAGATTACTTCCCCCGCCCCGCCATCCCTCGCAGAAAAAACCAATTAAGAATTGGATTGATTTACACATCCAGAATTAACTCCGACAAATTAAATTGAAGTGAGAAAGGACAACCCCCAATAACAAGAATTTTTTTTCCTTCCTTCCTTCTTTCTTTCTTTCTTTAATTTGTGGGCACCACATATAAAGTGCTTTGGTTCTACAGAACACTGTTTCTCAACCTTGGCAATTTATGATGTGTGGATTTCAACTCCCAGAATTCCCCAGCCAGCAAGCTGGCTGGGGAATTCTGGGAGTTGAAGTCCACACAGCATAAAGTCGCCAAGGTTGAGAAACAGTGTTCTGTAGAGTTAAGTGCAGTTCAGAATGAAAAGCCATGTATAATCTAAATGATTTTAGAATATATTCATATATAATTAATTATTTTAGAATAACCTAAAATGGTGAACAAGAGGGCATGTGGTTAAAATACCCCAGCAAAAACCAGCCTATGTAAGCAAACAGAAGGCAACATGGATCATGCCAGCCAAGAAATGAAGAACTTGAATTAACTGTGATCATACAAACGTGCCTTTAGCCTCTGAAATTAAGCTTTAAAGGTTACCTAAGAATACATACAAAATAGCATTTCCAAATATCACATATCCTGAAGCTGAGATCTGACACATGGCACCTGAGGGCCCTGAGATAGAGACAGAGGTGTCTGTCCGTTGTGGTCAAAAAAGTCAAGATGGCTGCCATGACATTTGGTCAAAGCCCCACCTGTTTTTTATGTGCATGTAAAAAATGAGCGGAACCTTGATCCCATTGTCACAGCTGCCATATTGACTTTTTTGACCACCCTCTGCACACACCCCTGGAGAGACAGATAAAAATTCAAAGCTGTAACTGTGCAGAAACAAGACTCCAGCATGGATTACCGTTCTGCGAAATGGGTGCATCATGGAGCCATTTGGGAAATAGAGCACACGCACCTCCAGCCATATTGCAAGAGTAACACATTAAATTTTAAAATAACGTTTAAAATTAAATTAAATTAAAATTCATTTTTTACATTCAACTTTCAAATGTAATTATCACCCCCACCCAAACACTGGGGACCTCAGAGAAACAGACACTTGGATGAATTTCAGCTACATCTCCCATCATCCACAGCCTAGGATGACATGGGTGGTAATCCACACATATCTCTAGCTATCCCAGGACAGGGCAGATTATATTTTATTGCATCTTCAGGGGGAAAAAAAAAATCATTTTTTCCAGCTGGAGCATGTCAACTCTTTCACTCCTAAAGACACTGCTCCCCGCATGCTAAACTTTGCAAAAAGTATTTTAAGGAGAGATGGAAGCAGCCAGATAAGGAAGAATCATCCTCATCTCTACATCTACAGGAATATATTATAAATTCTCTTATCTATAATATATATGTTTTTATTCACATATTTATGCATTAGCACAGGGGCCCCAAATAGTTCCATGATCTCTCTTTTTGGTACGACGTTATTGCTTAAATCTGGGGCTTGAGTGTGTTTGAGGACCTGGTGGAACGAAAAAGGTATTTTTCTTCTGCTCCCAACATTGTGGGAGACTAGAACCAGACTTGATTGCGCTTGATCACCCCTGAAATTAAAGGGATCCGGCAACCTAGCATGATTTCAGCAGCGTCAGAACAGGACCAACTGAGTTTCTGTCTCTAACCGGTTCACCAAGGTGGGGATACAGGTCTCAGTGAATTAAGAAAAGTCAGAAAGCTGGCTTTGAAGTTTTCCCACGCCAGCACCGGCATTTGGGAGAAGCCGCAGTGACGTCACACGCGTCATGACATCACCCAACTACGTTGTTTGCATCATTTGCATTATGATGTCATATCAGCATCCCTCCCTTTGTGGATACCCACGTACTTTACGCACAGCTGAGAATCAACTGTGGGTCAGGTACCCACCCAACAGACCCACGTAAACTGGAGCCATTTCCACCCCTCCGATTTGGAAGCGGGACAGAGAGAATTGGCTGCTTGTAAAATGTATACAGGTCACATTTGCTCATGACTCTAAGCCATAAACCCTGATTTACCCACACAAGAGCGGAGTTCATACCCTGCGCTAGGCCTCAATGAAACAAATCATGTTTGGTCTAGCAGCACTTGTGAACTCAACCCTTGTCAACTGTGCTTCATGGCTTAGTATGATGTGTGAACGAGCCCACTAAGACTTGGTCAAGAAACCACGGTTAAAGCGAACCCTGACTTACGGCACTAGGGGAAATGTGTGTTCATGTATACAAGGCACGTGAGCTACAGGCTGGCAAATCTGGGAAACGTGGCAGGCGAAAAGGCCTTTTAAGGCATTGGGAGGCTGACTGCCCTTCTGGGAAACAGGAAAGCGGTTTGGTTCTGTGCCACGGAACGATGGTTCTCGTGGTCTTCCTCCATCAGAAGCCACGGGCGACGTACACTCAGCAGAAAGTAACTGGCATTTCTCATCCCACCGGCTTTAAAAGAGTTCTTACCATCAACCAAGTTTTTCTTGGTGCCTTTGTTTCACCAAAACGGAAAGAAAAGGGCGGGTGGTGAAAAGATCTGTTGTTATGTTCTGTTCCTTCTTTTTTAAAACTGGCCCCAATATGAGGAGGCAGGGGACCGTTCCAGAGGCTTTGCAAAGGCTGGGTTTAACCCGAGCTTGCGGTTCACCCAGAAGGCGAGGAATTATGTGTGGTTAAACCCGGGTTGCTTTGGCTTCACGGTGAGAAGCCAAGGAAAGGCTTCTGTGACTCCCGCCCTTCCTGAGGGCCCCACCCGCCAGAGTCGCGAGGCTTCAACCTTTCCACGAAGCGTCACACGAACGACAGAGATTTGGCCAGCCGGATCCAGAACCACTTCTTGGTGGCTGGGTTCGTGTAGTCGCAGACGGTGATGAACCGTAAGATGCTCGGGAACTCCTTCTTCATGCTTTTGCATTTCACGGGAATCAGGCGCTTGAGACGAGCTCCTGCAGAAGGAAGCCGAGATGGGAACAAGACCTAACTAGGCGGGTCGGGCCAAGAGGCGCATGCAGTACAACCAGGCATGAACTGTTGCCCCAAGCAAGAGAGGTGGTGGCCCAACTCTCCCAGCCAGCTTCCCCAACTGTATCTGATGTTCTGAACCGCAAGACCCATCCCAGGGCAGTCCAATACAGGTAGTCCTCAACTTATGACCATTCATTTAACGACGGTTTGAAGTTACAATGACGCTGGGAAAACTGATTTATGACTGGTCCTCACACTTACAACCATTGCAGCTTCCCCATGGTCACGTGATCAAAATTCAGGTGCTTGGAGACTAGCATGTACTTACAACAGCTGCAGTGTCCTGGGATCATGTGATCGCTATTTGTGACCTTCCCAGGGGGCTTCCAACAAGCAAAGTCAATGGGGAAAGCCGGAATTGCTTAATGACCGTAATTCACTTAATGACCGCAGCAAAAATGGTCATAAAATCAGGCATGACTCACTTAACAACCGCATCACTTAGCAACAGAAGTTCCAGTTCCAATTGTGGTCGTAAGTCGAGGACTACCTGTATGTCTGCAAGGCAGCATGGCATAACTGACCAAGGACATCGACCTCATGGCCACAATTATCAGGATCTTACCTGGGGAGAGACTGAGAGCAAACTTGGTCTGGAAGTCACACTCTTCACTGTCAAGGTAGTCATCTGAGATGACCACCACCATCCTTCGACACCTGTGGTTGCACACAGAACAAGGAAAACACATTGGGGATGAATTTTCCCCTGCGCTAAGCCAGTGTTTATTTAATCATGAGCTGAATAGGCTCCTGTTGACTGAATATACACACTATGCGATGTCATAAGCCATGGTTTCCAAGGCACAATGGGAGTTTCTATGGCTTACTACATGTTCTACACCCGATCAGGTGACTTACTAAATCACCTGTAGGGAAGAATTCTGTAGGGAAGGACTGCAGGTCACCAGATAAACCAACAAGTAACTTCAACTTCTATCTCCTCCATTTCCAAGCGACTTACAAAGGGTCAATGTAACAGAGTTAAAAGGAAACACTTGGATGATAAGAATTCAGTCTTTCGGATGCGCCATCACTCGGGGATGGCAACGGTCTCCCTCGTCCCCCTAGGGAGCCAGGGCTTCACAGCTCTTTGAAAAGAAGAATGAGGACACTGAACGGATGATTTAAGGATCTGGGGATTAAAAAGGGTTACAGCGGGAAGGGAACGAGTAAGATGGCAGTTACTCGATAGAAAAAAGGGCAGAAGTCAAAATTCTGTGTTTTCTTTCTGTTTTTTCTTTCTTTTTTTCCTATTTCCTATCTTTGCTTCTTTTTCATTTTTTATATCTTTATTGTATTATAAAACTCTAATGAAAAAAATTACAGAAAGAAAAAATGGAAAAAAGAATGAGGGTAGGCTAGTCCAGATATCCGGGGGAGAGCTATCACTGAGAAGGTTGGAGCCCAGGGTCTCTAATGATGGTGCAGGTAGACCTCGGCTTACTTCCATTTGTTCAGTGACCGTTCAGAGTTACAGCAGCACTGAAAAAATGGACTTAGATCGAAGTTCCGGCTGTTGCAGCGCCCCCACGGTCACGTGATCGCATTTCAGGTGCTTGCAGTTATGACGTCACAGGGAGCTGCAATCACACGATTGCCATTTGCGACCTTCCCTGTGGCTTCCCACAAGCAAAGTCAATGGGGAAG